TATTTTTTAATTATTTATATTATCTATTAAATTAAAACTTCAATTAATTATATATTTAATAATTTAATATAAAGGATCAGAAGTAATTTCTTCGAATCCAGATATACATACATTCATAGCTGATTATGATCCAAATGAAAATAGCAGTTAAATGAAGCAAAAATAATATTAGCTAAATTTATAGATTATGTCATATATATGATAAACTTCAAAGCAAGCGTAATCAAATTCATAAAAAAAATAAGCAAAACATTACAGGTAAAATTTAATTAATTATTATTTAATACTTATTTATAATTTAATATATTTACTACTTTTAATTGTAGATTATATCATGTTATGCTACAAATTTACAAGAAAATCTGTTGTCTTGTGAATGATTGTCATTATAAGCTGATTAAATAACTTTGTGAAAATTATTGATAATATTACTAATTGAATTTCATAATCAAGAAATGGTTTGACGTAAGTAATAATGCATTTGCTCTAAGACTGCTTGAGCCATATATATATAATCACATTTTTACTTTCAATAGTATTTAATCTATAAGTCACATAAGTATTCATAGTATCAAATTGTAATTTATACAGAAGAATAAATACATAAGTAAAAATTGCAGATTTTATGACTATGTTCGTAAAAAACTAGGCAGATCTAAGGAATTTTGCTATCTCCAATATAAAATAAATCTTGATGATATAAATGATGTTAGTAATATTCTCTTACAATATTTTATAAAAGAGGAAAAAGAGTTAACTTAGGCTAACGTGAAAGCCTATTCCTTTATAAGACTTGCTATTGCCTAATTTAAACTTTGCTTAATATAGGGTTTTGTTAGTAATGATAGGCTTTAATATAAGCGTCAAGTTAGTTTACTAAAGTTCATAATTTAAAACCACGTGACAAGACAAAAAGTTCCAAAATGCTGAATAAAAGGTGACTATCACTTAAGACCAAAAGGTCTCAGAAAGTTCTAATAGTTGAAATGTACTTTTTAAACACACATTCATTTTAGGATTTTAATGTTATATTTATTTCATTTCCGTTAAAAATAAAATCCCAATAAAGTATAATGAGTTGATTGACATGACATAAAATTGAATTTGGTTAGTATTGTTATCAGATCATTAGTTTCACCTGTATTATGTTATGTGCAGTATTTTATATTTTTTATGTCCAAAGTATTTTAAGAATGTTTAACACTATGTCTAAAACTGTCTAATACTATGTTCAAATGTTTAACACTATGTTCAAAATATTATTCAAGAATGTCCTGTGACAACACTAGTTATGTGTATTGTTAACGTGCGATTTTGGTGGATTACTACAGTTAAACGAGGTGTTCGAGAGTTGTTTCTTTTTAATATATGTAGTAATTACTGATCTTTCCTGGAGTCTCTGACTTATAACTTGTATCACTCAGATGTATTGATTTGATATTTCACTAAGATTTTAAGCTATCACAAAGACCTGATGTCTTTACACAGATTAAATACAAAAGACCTAATTGTCTTTACACAGATTAAATACGAAAACCTGATTGTCTTTTAGGTTTATACTCAGATTGCAGCTTATCACTAAGACTTATGCATCACACAGACTTGTAGATTTCACTCAAATGTTTAAATATCACGCTATCATTTATAGATCACACAGCAAATAAATGATAAAACAGTTTATTGATAATAAAATAAATAAATAAAGGGTAAAGAATTATTACACAAAGCTGAGTAAAATTCTCTAGAAATAAAAGACAAGAATAAAATATATAAGAAGAATATTAGCATCAGGCTAAAGGAAATCTAACTTCCTACTTGCTACAAGTTCTAAAATCTATTGTATTTATATCTTTCCAATTACATATAATAATAAATAAAATATATAAAATAAATAAGTTATATCTATTATATTAACTATGTCAATAATGTTGATAATATCATTAATGTCAATAATGTTAACAATGTCAACTATATCAACAATGTCAAGAATATCACGTAATACATGTAGATCAATTTGTAGATTAATTGCTTGTGTAATTTCTTTAGTAAATCAATTTAGTGAAACATGTTGATCATTTGCTTTACCAAATTTTCTTGCTAAAATTACTCTGTAACAGTATGATTATATAATAATTATTAATCTTATATTCTTAGCCTATTTTGGTATATGCAATTTAATCTTCTATATTCTGTTATGATATTTTTATCTATTTTCAGGTAGTCAGAATCAAGGAAAGATATATTCAACTGGTTCCAGAAGTGAGCTCTGCTTATTATTATGTAGATTTAAACACATTTTCATCTTTATTAGTATTATGTGTGATAATATGACATCTTAGATCTTGTAAACTATCAAGATGAACGCATTTTATAATAGATACTGGTTTCTTAAGGCATGTGTGGCATTTATTTCAAAGTTCATAGTAGTTTTTTGAAGGTTCATTTTGTTAATGTTCCTTTTATTGGAAAGGTAACTTCTATGTTATCTTTGTTTAGAATTTTGTTACATTACTCTTACTTAAAGATGGGAACTGTAATTAATATGTTGCAACTTTTAATGCTACAACTTACATTGCAATTAGTTTTAACCTATATATGTTGCAACTTATAATGTTGCAACATATGTTGCAACTAATTTTAGCTTATGTTGCAACAATTTGTAAATTTGAAATCAATTGCTGCACCATCTTTACTCTTGCTTCTTTTTGGATTATGATGAATTCAGAAAGATTTGTATAATATTTAAATAATTGTTAGTTACATTAATTTCTTTGGGTATTTGGCTTAAAACAGGTGAAATTTTGCGATTCTTTATAGTTTTACATGAGAAACAAATAGCAACTTTTCTTTATCCTTTGATATTATAGCATAAGACTAATTAATATGTATATTTCGTTAGGATCATGATCATCTATTTGATGAATTAATCATTATAATTGAATAGTAGGCGTAAGATTTTGTTATTAAATTCTTCTTACAGTAATATAAACTTTTTAGATGAATGCCATGTATAAATGATGAGTTATTCTGAGGTGAAAAATTAATGTATGATTATTTAGTGATGCATTTAGTAGGTTTTAGTTTATTTCGTTTTGTTTAATATATGTTGAGAATAAGAGATCATTTATGTTTTGCAAAGGATAGATTTTAGAATTTAATAATAAAATATTAGAAGAGATAGGATTTTTTGTATTTTTTTTTTGTTCTATTATTGTTTAGTTATTATTGTTTAGTAACTTAATTATTAATTAAAAAATTCTTTTATACGTTTCTTTCGTAAATTTTAATTAGTCATCGATTTTAATGATTGGCTTATTAAGGAGTGTATTTAAGATTGAGATAAAAATTCAGTTACTTTAGAATCGTAATTTTTAAAGAATTCTTGTTAAAAAAGCTTTGTTCTCATATATATATATATATTGATTTAGTATTTTTGATCATAATCTATGACAAAAAAAAGTTTCCTACGACATTTACGAAGTATCTTTTTTATGAAGTAATCACGAATCGAAATTTTATTTTTTTATTGGTTTGCTAATTTTTTTCATAATCAATATTATTTTACATAATCTTTTTAAAGAAACAAATTAATTTTTTTGTATTTCATTTGATGGAACATCCTTTAATCCAAGTAATTTTTTATCTGATTCTTCCGTTATCAGAAAAGAAGATATCGATATTCAAAAAAATAAAAATTTCTCAGATGGACAATTATTATGACAAAATACAAATTAACAAATTTTTTGTTTATTTTAAGAATTTAACTTTTTTTTTGTTCTAGAATACACCACTACTTTTCTTTATAATTTTGTTTAATAAACAATGGTTTAGTATTCTTTTTTTATTTGACTATATAGTTTCGCATATAAGCATAGCATAGCTAAAAGCAAAAGCATAGCAAGGCTAACAACGCAAAGCATAGCAAAAGAAAGAGTACGTACGCTCTTATAAAACGGGATATTTCTCGTACAACAAATCTTGCCCAAAAAAAGGCTGAGACGTTTTTTTGATTCATTAAAAAATCAAAACGAGAAACAATCGTCATGACCATCAATAACAATGAAATTTAGAAAGGAAATGCTATACCAATTTTTTATTTACGTTACATAATTAACGAATTTGTGCGCTACCGGCATTTTTATCGGAAACTTGAATGGATCAGAAAACAACTCCTGGAAGTGGTAATATTGGTATCAATTAAATATAATGACATTTAAAGGTTTTCTTTGGTCTCCCAGATGAGATTTATAGATTGAGTCCCGAGCTATTTAATTAATAATGACCTCTCTAATTGTTATTTGATAAAGGATTATGAAGTTTATTTATATCAATTTATCTTTTTTTTTATTATAATCAATTTATTTCATTATCCGAAATTTCCTCAAAAAAATTTAAATTTAAATATTATTACTCGCGGTTATAAACATAGGGTTCAAAAAGAGTCGGTTCTGGAACCGATTCTAAATTCAGCAGATTCTGAATTTTACCAATTTTACAAATTGATGCTTCGGGACTGGCTCAAAAGGATCAGCTCAAAATCAAATTAAGAATAATTATAGTCCGAAATTGATAAAAAAATTTTATTTGATATTCACATGCTCTATTTAATAATTAGCCGCTTAATTTGCTTTAGGAAAGCAGAACCAAAAAGTAACCGAAATGGGACGAAAGAACCGTTCCCATCCCTATACACACATCCAAGGAGTTGGCATTAATGAAATTATATGTTTTTTTTGGAGGTTGGGACTTCAAAAATTTTTAAAAAAATGAATTCTAGCATATTTATTAAATTTGAAAATTTTTTAATCAAATTTTATAATAGAAGAAATATTAAGTCCAAATTAGTGAAAGCATATTATAAATGAGCAAATTATTAAAGAATAATCGTAGTATGCAATAGCTAAAATTTACAAATTTCATACTACAACCAAGTTACAAAAATAATAAAATGGAAAATTGATAAAGAGATATATCATGATTAGGTATTATTATAATTAAATCTATGAATTATCCAGTAGAAATTGAATGGCTCTATTAATATCATTATCAGAAGAGAGCAGAGCTAGCGTAATAGTTTCTTGAGAGCTTTGAGGAAACATATCTCGTAAATTAGCAATGCTTTCTTCATTAATAGATTGCTGCTGTAAGTTATAAGTTTTCAAAATTAAGAACAATCGACTTGAGAATAGTAATTTCAGATTTAAACTTTCAACTTACGCTTGTTATGTGTTGAGAAGGTGCTTGTGCTGGAGCATGACGTCTCATGACTCGTTCTTGTTGAATTGCTTGTGCATGATGATCAACTGCAAGAGAAGATGAGCGCCTAGGTGGAGGTGTTGACAATAAGGGTAATATAAATCTTGAAACGAATCGGCTAATAATCTTTGGAAAACGAAGTTTATTTAACTTCAAAAAGCCGCTCCTATAAATAGCACCGGCTAAAAGCCCGCATATGCCGGCAATAATTGAGGATGGATATTGAAAATAAAGAAACTAATATAAAAAGAATTATTTAGTCAAATTATAATCAGTCAAAAAGATTTTTTAAATGCTTAATTACTAACATAAGCTCACCGGTATAACTCCCAAACAATACATATATCCAAAAGCTCGATACTGGTAAGTAAATGGTATTATTCTATTGTACTGATAAAGTGTAGCAAAGATAAACCCATATGGTCCTGCGGGTATAAATGTCACCCCAAATCGCTTGCCAATTGCAAGCGCACCAACTTCTAGAATTGTAGATAACGCGGACGATACGAAAAAGAATGCCTGTACGCGTTGACATTGTTAAACAAATACGACCATACAATCGAATTCAAAGCTTGATAAATTAATATAATTTATAACGTACTGCATATTTTGACGATCCAAATTGGCGTTCTATTACTCTAAGATTATACATAACTATACTCCCAAAGAAAAATTCACCCGATGTAGTCAAGATACTATGTGAAGTTATTAATCGCCATAACTATTTTTTTTTTTGTTTTAAAAAAAAAAATTAGATTATAAAAATTTCAAATGAGATAAAAGATTTAAATTTTTACCTCATTATGTGTAAGTTGCAAAGGAAATGAGGATCTAATATCAAGTAAATAGGAAGCTAATGAGCATCCCCCTATACAAATTAAGAGACCTTTCGTTACCGGTGCATTGTGAAAACCTGAAATGGTAAAATGTAAGATCGTTAGAATTAGTAAAATAAAGAGTTAATAATGCAAAACTTTTGACTGACCTGTTTGACTCCCGGATGCTGTAGACATTTTTCTTATCGCATGTCAAAAAAGTTGGATGAACGATTTGACATACTATATTATATAAATAATTTTTTTAATTTACACGTAAAAAAAAAAAAAATTTTTTTAAAAAAAAAATTGCATTGATCCTTTTATAGTAAAATAACATGTACTTCCAATTCATTGCGTGGATCTTTTGCATTCGCCATTCAATTCTTTTAGTTTAGTGGTATAGCACATTAAATAACCCGCAATTCAAAACCCGGAACACCAAGATATCTCATGTGGTACATTTTTAGTTGACGCATTTGTACTACCTTCATTCACCAAAAATATTGCATTTTTTGAAAATTTCGGCAACTATCTTTCGAGCAATTTTATTTTCGAAATGATTTTGTTGGACAATCATAATGTTGTAATAGAAGAGACGCTGACCCAACCGATCGTGAAGTGAGTCGGTCTTAAAAAAAAAATTTCAATTACATGTTTAGCGGATCGTACTTTTTCACGTTTAAGTTGAAATTATTGAATCGAAGTGTTTTTTTCTCATAGCAATAATCCCACAGCCTTTGATGTCAAAGTGGTCGATTTCGATGGCGTGTCTTGTCATCTTTCGACTTTAGAATCCAATTCTGTGATTAGATTTTCTCTCTCAATGCTATGTTACAAAGAACTTGTTCAATGGGGTGCTCAGGATATGTTACAAAGAGAATATGGTCCATATTGCGTTTCTGACACAGAGGAAGGATATGATTTTACTTTAGAATTTAATTTACAAAATCTTCCTAAAGATAAAGGTAAGTGATAGCAAAGAATTCTGTGAATTTATTTTATTTTTATTTTATTTTATTTCACATTACATTGAAAATTAGAACAAAGAGAGGAATTAGTAAATAAATTAGCTATGATTAAACGTGATCTTTTGGCTCAACCGTTTGAACGTGCATTTGAGCAGCAAGCAAAATTCGAAGATGAGAAACAAACCAATCCACATTCTGAACTCATGCAAATTCATTACAGAGATCAGGAAGCTTTTTATATTCAAGCTCAACTAGACAGAGTTACTGTAATCTTCTCTACATTATTTAAAGAGGATACGGATAAAATATTCGGTAAAGTATTCTTACAGGTGGGGATGCATTTGAAGTTCAATGATAAAATACAGATTAAAATATGCACTGACAATTTACATGATCTTAGGAATTTGTTGATGCGCGTCGTCGTCCAAATATTCAAAATGCTCCTCAAGTGTTATATTCGAGCAAGGAACCTCCTTTGGAAATTAGACATTTATCAGAGTTACAAAAGACGAATAAAAATGAGGAGATTGGTTACGTCACGTTCGGTAAAACGCGATTATTTAATTAAGTGTATGACAGCCACTTTTGATCAATCTTCACCTAATTGTACTTGTTTGACCCCATGTTAGTTTTATTTCCTCGCCACTTCACTCGAGGTGATGTGAGAGAGAAAACAATCTCTCAAATTCAATTATTCCGAGATTATCTTCATTATCACATCAAATGTTCAAAGGCTTATATGCACTCTAGAATGCGTGCTCGTGTACAAGCGTTCTTGAAAGTTCTTAACAGAGCCAAGCCGGAATTACCAAATGTTGAGAAAAAGACAATCACGTTAGTTATCTTTACATTTATTAACTATATTTGCAGATTCTTAATCAATCGTTTTATTTATCTATATACTTCATTTTAGAGGAAAGACCATTGTCCGAACTTAATTTAAAATCAAATAAATAATGTTTATATATATAGGTATTTTATATCAGTTGGTTGTTAATGTTTACCATTCATTGAACTTGCTTGTTTCAAATTGCTTAAAAAATATAAAATGAATAAGAATGCTAAATTGTATGACAACATAATTTATAATTTTTGACTGAATTAATATGTCAATTACAAATAAACTGAATTTTACAATTTCGATCATAATTACACAATAATGTCATCGTACTTATCAATTCCGGTCACCTGTCAATGGAGTTTTTCCGGAGTATTCTTCCGGAGCGTTTTTTTCGGATGTTATTCATAACTGATTTGGCAATTTATTTGAATATAAAAGGCATTCATTATAAGCCTAAAAACAATAAACGTTTATTACTTACTCATGGAATTACATTATCTAGTCATCTTTGCAATTTTTGTAGTTCTTGGGACAGCACATTATTTAATCAGACAACGGCATCAACCTTTTCCACAGATAATTAGCGATGCGTATAAAGCTAAAGAGACACTTAATCACTACGACAATGCTTCACGAGCAAAGTCAAATCAGCGATTGCATTTTACCTTTGGAATTTCAAATCCTTTTACCAATCCAAATGAACAGTATCGCCGCGACTTCCGTAAAGTTATTACTAAATCCATCAAATTAGATTGGCAAAAGATTAAATCCATTGCTCAAAAAGCCGTAAACGATTATACTCATGTGGAAACGAGTCAAGAGTGTGTTGTCGTCGAACTTGTTCCCTGGATACAGAAAATAACGTTAAATGTTGTTCTCCGCGGTTACTTGGGAATGACGAATATCGACAAAGTTATCGATGAAGCTCCCAGCATGATCAATAGCCTTTGGCTCATATCCAAAGAACTCGATTTCATAACAGCAAGAAAGGACGAAAATTTGAAATTAATATTGGAAACAAAACGTCTGCTCAAAGATCTCTTCAATATGGAAGCATCGTCAATACCTCAACAAAAAAAACAAAATGAGACCCATAATGTGATGATGGAAATTTCAAGAATTGCTCGATCTAATTTTCCAAGCGCTTTTAATAAAGCACACTCTGACGCAGCCGATAATTTTGAATCCAACAATGGATTCCATAATCCTTCAGGCGATGACTTAGTAAATTCTCTCAATGTTATAATTCCCGCTTACGAAACAATGTGGAGGGTTGTACTTTATGCTATTTTGGAGATTAAGATACGCCCCTTATTAAGAAACAAAGAAACCACTGAAGGGAATGCTAATATCGATTTTGAAAAACTCGATGATGCAGTCAAAGTTTTTCTGGAAAAACCTAAGAATGTTTCCAAAGTTCCTCCACTATGCCACGTTATACAAGAAACTTTGCGACTCTATCCTCCAACACGACATATTCATCGGGAAAAAGAAGGTCTCAGGGTTACCGTCGATGTGGAGGCAATTCATCGTGATCCCAAAATTTGGGGTGATGATGCTCTCTTATTTAATCCTGAGCGTTTCCACAAGAAACCGGAAGAAGCTTCATTCATACCATTCTCGGTTGGCCCCTTGAAATGTGTAGCTGCCGAATTTGCTCCAACATTTGCTGCCATTATCATCTCAGTTATTTTAAATCGCGTGAAAAATGTCACTCTGAACCAAGAAAAAAAAGAAACATTATTTCAGAAAGAAAACATTCCTTTTGAAAATAGTCGTCGTGCCTTCGACAAATTTAAAGTCAATATATATTGAGGATCGCGTGTGATTGTGTATTATGTTATATATCCCTTTAAAGAAACATAATTGTAAGTATCTATTAGGATTAAAAAAAATTTTCAATATCAAATTAGCATTATCTTCAAATTATTAAATTAGATTTTTTATTTAATAAGGAAAAAATCATGAAAATCAAAAAAAAAGAACATTTTTATATATTTTAGTTATAAAGAATTATATAACATTCCTTATCTTTCCTTTTCGTTACATGTCGAAAAAAAATAAACCAAAAAAAAAAATTTTTTTTCTCAAATAGAGATTAAGTAAAAATAACGTCGATCATTTTAAATCATTTGACCAAGTGATTTTCACATACTATAATACAAAATTGATGATCGGCCTTTATATTTTACTCATTAAAGTTAGAAAAGGAAAAGGATTTTATTAGGGAAATACAAGGGATTACAACTATTACTGCTTCTACCAGCACTCTGTAATAGACCTAAAGAGAATAGAAAAACTATCTAAATTCAAATCCTACTGAAAATACAAGGAAAAAAAGTCCACCTTTTATAACAAATTTTCTTTTCATAGTTTTATTATAGGATCCCTTTGCAAAAATCAGTATTCTTATGATTTGGATGACAGAAAGGCTTAATTAATTGATTTTTTATATCAAAAATGATTACTTTGATATATATCTTTCATCATTCTGAGAGTCTGAACTTTCATAAAGGTCTGAAAAAGTCAATTCTATCAGATACGTCAAAAATAATAGCAAATTAATCATTAATGCCACAGTAATCAAATTTTAGGCACAGTCAAATTTTGAGAGTAACAAATGTATGGAAAATTTAATATTACTAAATGGATAAATTAACACCTTTCTTAACATTCAAAGTAAACTTGTAAAGCAGACAAAAATACCATTTATAATAATAAATTTAGTTGATTTCTAGTTCAGATATTATAGAAAAATATGCTAACAATTTAAACATATAGGTATTATGGTTATTTCGCATTTTGCCATCCTATACAATTCAAAAATTATAGTGTTTTTTTTTTAATACAAAAAATGCATAAAAACTATATAGGATTTCTTAAATAACTTAGTAAAACAATTAATAATTTATTAGAAGCTATTTATCTATTTTTTTTTAACCTATTTTACTTATAAATTATTTTAATAAAATTCTTTATAAAATTCTTTATTTTTATTAAAATCATATTTAAAGATACTTATCTAAACCTTTCCAAAATTCTACAATTAGTTTTAGAAAATTTAATAGTTTTATTACAATTTCTCTAATTTTAGTATTTATTATAATAGTTTTAGCATTTTACCATAATTTTATCATAAGTAATTAAAAGATTTTAATATTATTTTAGTAAAGTTTTAGCATTTCAACATTTCAATAAGTATAAATTTCTTTTAATTTCTCCAGCATATCCTAATTTATATAAAAATTAAATATGTAATAAATATATAATTAACAAATAATCTGTTAATTATTTATAATCTATTCATATTTACTCAAATAAATTATTAATTATTATATTATCTCAAAATATCTTTCAAAATCATTTTTATTTTTATTAAACAATCTTTTATTATTTTGCTAAATTTGAATATCATTAATTTCAAATCAACTAATCTTAAAAATTCAGAAATTCAGACCTTTATTTAAAGTAAAATTAATTAAATTATAATTTTAGCTAATAATTTAATTATAATTATCTCATTATGTCTAATTAGAAATCAATGAAATTTAGCTTATTGGATTAATCTTACTGCACAGAATTAAATAGTAATTTTCATTAAAATAAAGTGATATTGACTAAAATTATATATTTTTTGTTTTTTTTCTAGATTTTTTTATATATAAAAAATCATGTTGTTAAGCTTAAACTGTTTGTCATTAAGTTAACAAAGATTATTTGCTAGTAGGGAGTTTAAGTACGTCTAAATTATGGAAGAAATAAACACAAATAATTAATTGAAGGGTCAGGTCGTCTTTATTGATATAGATTTAAAGAAGAATGAATTAAGTTTTATGAGCAAAGATAAGTTTCAGAGATAAATATTATTGTTTTATTAGAGAATTGGTAGCGACTCTGCTATTTATTGAGGTAGAAATACAAGATATTTATATAAAATACATCAATATGAAATAGATATTTAAGATAGTAAAGAAATATAAAAAAATAAAGAAATTAAATATAATAAAGAAATATGTGAAATTAGAGATAGCTAAGAAATCTGAGAAATCTGAGAAATAGTAGAAAGTTGAGAATCGTGATTGACATGATTACCATTTATCAATTAGGTTAAACGCAGTATCGTGCATCATAACAAAACTATCACTAACAATGTGATAAGATTAAAGATGAATACCATAATTAAGAAGTTGCAACTCGATAAGTTACAATTTGAGTTGCAACTTGGTTGCAACTTCTTGTAAATTTATTTTAATATAAAAATTCATAAATAGTTGTAACTCAAAGTGTTGTAACTTAAGTTGCAATTAGTTAAAAATTTTAAAAATAATTATGGGAACCATCTTTAGATAAGATGATGTTATTTCAACTATTTCAGATATCTAAAATAATTTATTTTGATTACATGTATATGATTATCATTAAAAATAAATTTAAAAGATATTATTAGATTATTTTATAAACAAAATATAAATAAACTATTTTTACTTACTAATTTTTTGTATATAATTCTTTATTTTTGATTATATTAATAAAATAATATACAATTTCAAGAATTTCTTAATCATATAAATGTTGTTAATTTGAATATATGCAATTAAATATTAAAGTTTATTAATATTATTAAAAACATTTATGAATTTCAACAATTATATTTGTTTTAAATATACTTTTAAATAGAAATCTGAATAGATCAGATTAAGTTGAGTAATTGAATTAACTTAACTTAATAAGGTCAGATCAGATTAAACATAAAATTAATCTGAATTAAATATATATTTGAATTGAACTAAATTAATATAACCTATATATCATGTGATTTCAAGATAAGTTAAGTCAGGTCAGTTATATGTAAATTAATCTGACTTGTTTAAAAAAGTAATTTTTTATTTTACTAGTTTAACAATATTTATTTTAAATAAAAATAATTCAATTTAATTATAAAAGTAATATAATTAATATGAAACTAATCAATTATTAATTTTAGTTTAATATTTTTTTAAAAAAACAAAAAAAACATTAATATATTTTTATATTTTATTATTTTAGTCAAAAAAAAAATAAAAGATTATTAATTATTCAAAGTGAAATGAAAAATAATATATTTCTATACATGATAAAAAAAAATTAGTTACATGGTTTTTTTATTTATATTATGTAACTTTTAATTTAAAAATATATAATATATGTTTTGGACTTATAATAGTTCTTATTTTCTAATATAATAATTTTTTAAAATTTTTATTGTTTATTAATTATAAAATTTAAATTACAAGTTACAATAAGTTTTCAAATCAGATATATGTTAATATAATTATGAAAAAAATTTTATAACTTTATAATTATTAATCCAATTATAATAAAATTTTATATTTACATATTTTTAATTATTGAATAACTTTATTTAAGTGCTTATAATTTATATCCTTTAATAATATTCTGTAAAACATCAGATTTGATCTGAATCTAATCCGAATCTAACAGATTAGACTTGAATTAGATTTGGATTCAGATTTGGATTTGATTCAATTTATCAAATTCAGATTGGATTTGAATTTGGATTTGATTAAATCTGACAGATTCAGATTTGAAATATTATATTTTTATTAATATAATCTATTCTGAAAGTAGAAGATGATATTATTATTAAAAAAATGTTTTTCTTATTTTTTAATAATATAATCTACTCTAAAAGTTAAAGGTATTTACTATTAAAAAATAAGATTTTTTATTTTTTTAATAATGTATTTCATCCTAAAAGTCAATGCAGATTTTTGTTAAAATAATAATTTTATTTTTTTTTTTAATAATAAAATGTTATTCTATATGTTTAAAGCTCCGCATGAGCCAGCTTGAGCTGGCTTACCATTAGCTCGAGCTGAGTCGAATTATTTCAGTTCACGAGCTGACTTGCTCAAGTCCAAAATGTGGCAAGCTGAGCTGACTCATATGGCTTACATCATTAACAAAAATCCGAAAATTATTTCAGAGTAATTGAAAAGTTCTGAAAAGCGATTTCCTTCAGAGAATTGTTTCCAAAATAGTTTTCTTCAAGAGAAACGTCTCCAAATTGATTCTCTTGAAGTGAAAACGCTTCTGGAACATTTTTTTTATGAAATTCGCTTCTAGAGCGCTTTTCTTTAAGAATTTCACTTCTGGAGCGCTTTTCTTTAAGAATTTCACTTCTGGAGCATTGTTCTTTAAGAAATTTGCTTCTGGAACGCTTTTCTTTAAGAATTTTATTTCAGGAGCGTTTTTTTTTAAGAATTATGCTCCCAGATAATGTTGCTATCCGAAACTATTTAGGAATTTTCAAAACTAAAACTAAAACTAAAACTAAAACTCTACTAAAACTAC